AGCCATGGCAGGCTGTGCAGTTGGGTCTCTGATGCTGTTTTTCCCTCTTCCTGTCTGAAAGAGATGGAGACGTCATCTTGGCCTGTGTTCTTGTCTACTCCTCCTGACCAAGGCTTGATAAACCCCCTTTTCCCAGCAGATTAGGAATGCTCAAAGTGCATTGTAGCAGCCTCTGGATGTTTCACAGGCCAGTCACGTGTGGAATTTATATCTGCAACCTAACTGTGTCTTTATTTTCTTACATAGAATGTCAGCTCTCCCATAGAATGTAGGCTCCTTGAAGGCAGGGACTGTGTGACATCTGGCTTTGGTTCTCCAAGACTGAGCACAGTGCCCAGCACATAGTAGATGCTTAATCTTCCATTCAGTTGTTCACTCATGTCTAACCCTTTGTAATCCCATTTGGAGTTTTCTTGGCAAAGGTACTAAATTGGTTTACCATTTCTGTCTTCAGCTCATTTTACAGATGAGGAAGCTGAGGCAAATAGGGTTAAATGACTTGCTCAGGGTCACACTGCTAGTAAGTGTCTGAGGCCAGATTTGAACTCAGAGCTTCCTGACTCCAGGTCCAGTGCTCTATCCACTGAGCCACCTAGCTGCCCCAGGGGCTTAATAAATCTGTTCATTGGCCGGAGTTTATAATTTACTCGGCATTTTTAAAAAATGAGACCACCTCATTAGTGTCTTAGTTTCTGTTGAAGCCTTTTTTTTTTGTGGAGGCAATTAGGAACAAGTAGTCTGTGAGGTCTTCTGCCCTGCTAATGCAATCTACAGATGGAGAAAGTTTAAGAATCTAGAGTTAGCTGTGTGTGTGGAAGTGTCCGGTCGTCTCAAATCCTGCTCTTCAGTCTGTTGTCACTTTATGAGGTGAGAGATAGAGGGAGAGGAGAGAAAGCAGTTCCTGACCGTTTTTTTTTTTCTGTTGTGTCTATTTTGGATTGTATCAAAATATCAAAATATGTCAGTTTTGGAAGGGACCTTAGCGGTCATTTGGTCCAACCCACATCTGAAAGAAAGTTCCTACTATGACAGTCCATCAAATAGTGATGTGGCCTTTCCTTAAAGACTTCCAATGAGGGAGAGCCCCTCACCTCCCTAAGTATCCCGTTCTACCTTGAGATGCTTTCATGTTAAGGAATTCTTTCTGGCATCAAACCTCAGCTGGCTTCTTTGCCACTTTCACCTATGGATTGATCCTATCTTGGCCCATTTGAGCTAGCCAGAAAAAACCTGATCTCTTCTAGAAAGCGTCCCCAGTGGGGTAAAGGGAACTCCAGTCCAATGAAAAAAGGCAACTGACTTGTGAGTTAGTTTATAAAATCTCTTGTTCTTCCTTTCGCTGAGGGGTGGGACAGGAATCCCTGAAGTTAGCCTTTGCTGGACGAGAAACCTCTAATTCATCTCTCTGAGGCTTTTTTCTCTGGGATCTTTGACATTCTGTTAAGTTCAATTAGCTTGGGTGTCCTTACCATTGCTGGAGGTAAGAATTATTTCCAGCTCAGCCCCCAGCAGCTCACTCCATTTTGCATTCTGACCTCCCCTAAGCTCTCCCCAAATGGACAGGATCTGCCAGGGCCAAGAAAAACATCTGTGATGTCTTGGGCGGGGGCTGTAGCCTCTTTTTATGGCCCTTTCTTCTTCCCGATGCTGCCAGGTCCGGGAGAACCAGGCCATTAAAACAACATCCCCCAAAAAACCCCACCTAGGCATCTGGAATGATGACAGGGCTGGGAGGCTCTTTCCTGATTTGATCCCAAGCAGGACACCTGGCAAAATACTGCCTGAGGAGGGATAGGACAGCCAAAGATGGCCCAGGTACCTCTCTTCCTCTCAGGGGTTCCGTCACAGCTCTGAGATAAAGCCCCAAGGGAAACCGGTAGGACAGACAGGGGGAGCGTCTTTTCGAGTGGGAGTGTGTGTGCATGTGTGTATGTATATGTGTGTGTAAAGTACAGTCTTTCCAAGAGATGTTCCCATTTGGTACACTCGGCAGACTTTTGCAGGGGAATGTATGTCTGCCTACGGTTGTAGGCTGAAACATGAATGGGTGTAGCTGTCTGCAGGTGTTTGAATGGCTTGTAGGTTTCTGTGAATGAATGCATTTGTGATGAAAGGTGGATGTATTTGTAGTCATGGGCAGGTGGCTGGCTAGATGATTGGCTGTAGGTTTCTGGGGGCTGGGGTTGAGGAAGCATCTGTTCTAAATGGGGGGTGAACAGACTCGGGTAGCATGGTCATCTCCCCAAAACATCTGCCTTCTTGCTGCCTCTGTGGTGGCATAAGATTTTGGCAACTGTCACCTCTTGCCTGGACACTCAAAAAGGGAAGAGGAGGGTGGAGAGAGTGGGAAAACATGTGGTCGTCTGCCTGGGCTCTCCTCCAGTTATCGGGGACTAGCCCCAAGTAAACTCCAGCATTAGTGTCCTGCCCTCGTGCCCAGCCCATCTGTTTGTTCCTCAGCCCCCGCCCCCACCCCTTGAGGCTATGGATGATAATATCCTAATGGGTCCGACTGGAGATTTCCCCAACCTCGGCCTCCTCCACCCCAGGGGATGTAGAAACAAATATATTCTGTTCATGACTCCCAACTTTCATGTTAGGAAAAATCTTTTCAGGTCCCCCATCTCTCTTCTAGCTAGATTTCCAGAGATGAAAGGTAAAGGGGTTTTTTCTGTTAGAAAGTGCTGAGATTCAGAGCCCATTGGGCATGTGGGAGTGGAAATCCTTGCTTCAGGAGGGAGGGGGAGGGGAATGTTCATTTGATCTAAAATCAGATGCTACCACTTAAAATGCATCAATGCCTGGCCCTCTGTTCCCTTTCTCCGGCTTTCCCCACCTCCCTTGTCCAGGGAAGATGGCCTCAAAGCCCTATCCTAGCACAAAACAACCCAAATGAGCCTTCTCATTTTCAGTCCCAGCCCAGGCCAAAGGCTGAAAGGGTTACAGACACTAATCTCTTCTCTCATCTCAGAAACTCCTCCAGGGGCGAGGCTGCTGCACACTTGGGGTGAGTGGACAGTGTTGGGGGGGAAGAAGAGGCTAGTCACAGGAGAGGGACGGCTCTCCAAAAATTAACCTGTCTCCTTTGGAGATAAGATCTTTACCCTGAATCCTCCCCACCCCATTCTCCCAGTCTCTCCCTTCTTCCCTCTCCCCTCCCAGTTCACAGAATTACAGCATGTCAGAGTTGGAAGGTTTCTCTGAGATCCTTAAATTTGACCCATCCAGAACAATTTCCTGTAGGTCAGTCCTAATACTGATGTATCATGAATTCATAGGGGAGATATCAAATGTACATATATGTATTTCCTTCATATTCTGTGTGTATATGTGGGTGTAGGGCAGTGATTGTAGTTTGAGCTAGTCCAAATGCAAACTCTCTTACAACTAAACCCAGTTTGTTGCACATAGTAGGTGCTTAAGAAATGTAGAAATGTTTGATGAATGAATGCATGTGTTCATGAATGAATGAATGAAAGCCAAACAGAATGGTATATACTACACTGTGTATGTGAAGAAAGTGGAGGATTCTCACTGGAACACCAGCCCAGCAAGGAACAAATAAGCAGATTATAGATTTAATTCGCCCCCCCTTGCCCCCCTGCCCACTAAATTTAATCGCATTTTGGTGGGCTGCTGTGACCTTTCTGCCAAATAAACATGCAGAAAGGAGCATTCCAGCCCTTGTGTTTATGAATGCACTGTCTCTGTAAATTATGAACGCCCTGGTGCATTGTGTTTGTATGAATGGGGGCTGCACGGGCTGGCCAGAAGACACGTGAGACACGTGGGTTGGAGAATTATGACTTTAAAAAACTGAATTGAGAAAAAAATTAATGGGAGAGTATGAATGGTGGATGCAAAAATAAACCTCACCTGCCCCCTTCTCTTCTTTCACCTCCCTTCCCCCATAGCAACAGGGTGCTCCTATTTCATTAATATGAATCCTTTGCCTTTTATCGATAGATCAGTTTCTTCTATGTGGTCCCTTGTTCACCACCATTCCATGGACCACACAGCTAAAAACAGAAAGCTAGAATACAAAAGATTCCGCAGTCAGCTCAAGCAGGGGGTTATTTTTAGATCAGAAAAGGGGGAAGGAGAGTGGGGGGAGAGAAGCAGTTCTGGGTTTTGCGATCTAATTTTGTCTTTTTTTTTTTTTATCCCATCAATGGTATTTTCCATACAATCTGATTTCTATTTGGCTCCTAGAAAAAGAACAGATCTAGGGCTGAAAATTCTGGAGGTTATGGCTGATTCTAGCTAGTAGCCTTTCTTCACCAGGCTCCAACTGAATTAATTTGATACTATTTTTGAAAGTCAGTGTTTCTAAGGGAGACCTAATGACGCACTGACGTCAATGCAGGTCAATAGCACAAACTGCTGGAACCGAGTGTGCTACACAGAGCCAGAGCTTGGAGGCTTTTCAAACAGCCCCAACTCTGCAAATATCCCAGCTTTGCAGGGGAGGGGGGAATCGAGTGTGTTGCAGGCAGAGACCCCCCACTGCCTTCCCCACCTGAACCCCAAGAATATTGATGCATGTCATGCAAAGGCAAAAAAAAGTGGGCAAGAGGAATCCAAACAGATATAATAGACGCACTGCAGTTCAAAAAAAAAATCATACCTGTCAAAGCAACCGTATGTAATCTATGCACACACGCACATAGGCACACGTTTACGTTCTGAATGCAATGCATATCATTAGGGTCTGTCTATAAATAGACCCAGAGATGCGTGCATTGCAATTTGGTCCCCAAACGGGGTTTTCAAACGTGGGTGATGAGTTCTTGGGTTCTGATCAGTTACTCAGGAGGTGCTGGATGTGTGGGGGTGGGTGCGTGGGAGGGGGCTGCCTCCTCTCTCACACACACATACTCTCCCTTTCTCTCTCTCTCTCACTCCCTCTCCCCTCCCCTCTTTTTCTTTCTTTCTCCATCTCTTCTCCCCCTCCTCTCCCTCTGTCTTCCCCTCCCTCTTCCCCTCCCCCTCCTTCTCTCTCTCTCTCTCTCTCTCTCTCTCTCTCTCTCTCTCTCTCTCTCTCCCTCCAAGTCTGGCACTGAACAACGAACTGTTTTGCCTTGCTCCCGGGAAGAGTGCAGACACATTACGTGAAATCCAGAGCGTTTTGCGTGGTGCATTTAAAACGCTTCACTCACCTCTCCCATCCCCTCACCAGTCTTTCCAAATTTCCCTAGAAATCTGTGTAAGGATTGCGGATGGGAAAACATTTGCAAAAAAAAAAAGTGAGGAGCCTTTTGCCAAAGGTAGGTTCCAGTGTGAACTGTCTGTTGTGTTTGGCTTTTGCAAAGTTTATGGTGTCAGTTGATAAATGTTTGGAGGGGTAGACTTATGTGGCTAGCCATGATCACTGTGTTTCTCATCAAACAAGTGCATTTTACAAATTGTTGGAACAGGTTGTTCTGGGTGTCCTGTGTATTTGATTTTTGCAGTGGGGATGTCAATTACAAGACATACTCGTGGCTTAAACTGGGAAGGAGATGCTCCTGTTCCCTTTTCTCCCTACTAGTTTACCTCCTTAGGAGAGGGAATCTTTAGTGTGGCCACTTTTTACTTTGCCCATATTTTGGATTAGCTCTCACTCAGCAAATAACAGCAGACTTGTAATTATCTTGCACATTAAAATTTAATTCCAAAAAGGCTTAAAGTCAGCAGCATCTGAGCAAAGTGGGGAAAGTTGGGAGGGGGAGAAGAGAGTAAAGGGGCTAGTTGGGGGAGAGAGCCTAAACATGGCATTTCTTGCAGATAATTTCCCCACCATTTGGGGGAAATACTGGGGCCTTAGTGGGTGTAACCAAAATAATGCCCACCAATTAACGATAAAATAAAATTGAGCCCACTGCCATCACCAGAATGAGAAACTGCTACAGTCTACAACCACCTGTAGAGGGAAATCTTTATGCATGATTTCTTATGGCTGTTTTTAAACAGGAAAACAGCTTGCATTTGTGACTGGCGAACTTTGCAGCATTAAGACAAGAGATGCTCTCTCTGAAGGGTGTGGGGGTTAAATTGCAAGGACGGCAGGGGAAAGGGGAGGGAGTGCTGGCTCGGTGCCAAAGTCCTTTCTAATTTGGGCATCTCTAGAGTTTGATCACTGGCATCTTTAGGTTGGAGCTAAAATAGACATATGGATAAAGGAAGGGAAGCTGGGGTGGGGGAGCGGGCAGTGGGGAGAAGACAGAGACTAAGAGTTGAATATAAAGTGAGGGTGGGCTTGGAAGCAGAACCGATCTAGGAATAAATATCTCCTGTCTCTTCTGCTAATCTTGACTGCAGCTTCACATTGAGAGGTAGTTATCAACAAGTGTTTCTCCTGAGAAGATTAGTTGTAACAGACTTTCAACAGTTTTTCCAAGCTTGGTAAATCTGCCAGGGAGGTTATTGTTGGGAGGGAAGGGAGTTGTACTTTGTCACAAAGGGATTTAGGGGTGGGGGGGAAGAGGGGAAGCTTGAACTTCCATTCATTTAACCCCAGAGACTTGAGTTCAAATTATCCAGCAGACTCACAAGGGAGTGGGAGGAACTAAAGTGTTTGAATCTTTCATCGGGAGCTTTAACATGCGTGGGAAGGATCCAGCTCCCAATGTTATCTTAGACCTAAAGTCAGTGGGAATTCCATGTGTCTGAGAGGAGGATTTTTTTTTTTTTGATCTAGGGAAACAGGGCAGCGGGCTTTGCTGCAGGGTTCTCCCCTGCAATGTCTTCTAGGAAAGCTGAATCACTACCACTCCAAGGAGCAACTACATCTGGGGGTGGGGGGAAAGCATGGTTTCTGCTTGAGAAATGAAGTAATCCAACAGCATAACAGTCATTTGAGGGCACAATTTGAGTGTCTGCTTGCAATGGGGCAGGGGGGTGAGTAGGGAGCAGGGAAGCTTCTTTTGGATGGAGATAGATGTTGGTAGCCAAGATCCCTACTGGTTTCTAGGTTTTGGGGACTTCAGACCGGATTGTTGGGGTATGAGATGAAGGGGGGAAAGCAGTGGGGATGCTGAACCACGGAGCCTCTTTTACCCTCTTTTATGGCCACATCAGGGTCAGTTTCAGCATAGCTTGGGGATGGAGCAGTGCTAAGGAGCAGGTAGCAGCCAGAGGATGAGAGAGGTAAGTGAAGGCCCTGGGTGAGGGCCCGAGGACTGGCGGAGGCCACAAGGCTGGACAAGAAGATTAGACTAGCAGGCCCAGAACTTTGCCTTTGATAAGCCAAGTTCATTTATCTCAGGCCCACCAGGAGAGCACTCCACTGGTAGGCCTCAGTTTGAGAAGTGAGCCTCCCTGGTGTGAAGCCTGGTTTGGTGCAGAGGACTCCCAATATCTCTCTATTCAGCAGGGGGTTAAATCAGGGAGCTAGTCTGACATCATCTCTCTATGAGGGGGCTCACTCAAGGGGAAGAGAGACTCAGACTGTTCAGGCCTCTTGCCATGTTTGCTGTCTATTTTTCCAGGCTCTTGACCAGTCTGAGGGTCTTTGGAAAGCAATGACATCATTCCTGCAGCCCCTCCCAAGGGGAAATTGCTTCTGTTCTCCACTAGGGGCACCAGGAGAATAAGGGGATTATCTGAGCCATATGATTACCTAGACCCTTCTCTCCTTTGCATTTTTCTGGATTCTGATGTTTCCTGCAAACCCCTCTAGCCAAAAAGGTGTAGCAAAAAAAAAACCCAAACCCTCACCTACCATTAGCTATCTCCCCTCTTCTGCTCTGCCCCCCCCCAAGAAACAAACTCACTAGGTTCCTGTGACTTTGGGGAGGGCTGAGAATTAGATGTATACTCTGTTATCCTTTTCAACCTGGTTTTGAAGGTGTCATCAGTAAAGTTGGGAATCCTCATATACTGGACTCAAACCTTGCTACAGGCTCATGGCAGGGGCTGTCCTTTATTCATTGTCATTTGACATGCAAACACAGAAATAGGTACTGTGGGTACAGGCATGTGTGCAAGCACCCACACATACGCACATCCCACACATGTGTACATACACATCCTCATACTCCAAGAGATCTGACCTCATCCATACATATGTTCCTTCTGGTGGCTCAACCCATCCACCCCTGTGCATCCTACATGATTCTTGCCCGTGTCTTGCCATAAGTTCACCGTGGGAGGTGCAGTGGAAGAGGTGGGAAACCTTCCTGGCTTTCTGGGCTGCCTGTGGAGGACATGGGCTCTTTGTGCAGTATTCCTCAATCTCAACATACTAAAATGCCTCAGTCTCACTGCTAAAATGAGGGGGCTGGGCCAGGTGATCTCTGAGATTTAATCGAGCTCTTAACATTCTGTGATTCTGTACATGGGCTGACAGACACACACACACACACACAAGTCTTCCTTCAAGGCTATAGATGGCAGGCACTAATAACATGTAATTTAGGGGCAGAACGAAGGTACCTTAGTCATGCAACAAGCCTAACTTTGCCTTGGTTTTACTCACACAATTCAGGGCTTCGAGCCTCCTTCCCCTTTGATTGTCCCATGACAAAAACAAGGGATCGCTAATCGTCCCACTCATGAGGAAAGTGATGGAAGGTTCAGCTGGGCTCCCAGCATGCATCTGTGGTACAGTAGAACTCGAGGAGTAGAGTCAGAGGATCTGGGTTTGAATCACGGCTTTGACATGTACTGTGTCATCTTGGCCAGCTTAACTGAAGACTTAGATGAGGTGCCTGCCAAGGTCTCTGCCAGTTCTCAGTCTACAGTCTTACAAACTCTTATTACCTGTGGTAGAGCCATACTCTTCAGTCTCTTTGTGGTAGGGCAGCCTAGAATCCCTTTTTATTTCATAGGAGGTTGGGGTGGGGCATTAGGGAAAATAAATCTTTATTTAGTACCTGCCGTGTGCCAGGCACTGAGCACTTTACAAATGGTATCTCATTTGATTCTCACAACAATCCTGAGAGTTAGGTACTGTTATTATCCCAATGTTATAGTTGAGGATACTAAGGCAAGCAGAGGTGTAAGTGACTTGCCCAGGGAGACACAGCTAGTGAGTGTCTGAAGCTGGATTTGAACTCAGGTCTTCCTGACTCTAGGCCCAGCTCTCTGTGCACTGTGGCGTTCCCTAGCTGCCAGGATACGAGGCAGTTGGCTCACGGAATCCACCAACAGCAGGATATCGCCAGGGCTTGGTCCTGGCTCTCCCAACATTTACAGAGTGAAAACCCTGGCCTGAGGAGTCAACAGCTGTTTTTTTCCCTCAAGCAGCTATATTTATCTTTATATGGAAGCAGGGAAGAGGGCTGACCCTCCAAACTCCAAGACAACTAGGTGGCGCAGGGAATACAACGATGGGCCTGGAGTCAGAAAGACCTGAGTTCAAATCCAACCTCAAACACTTAGCAGTAGCATGACCCTGGCCAAGTCACTTAGGCCTCTGCTTACCTCAGTTTCCTCAACTGTAAAATGGGGGTAATTAATAAAAGCTGATACCTTCCAAGATTGTTGTGAGGACCCGATGAGATATCTGTGAAACACTTAGCACAGTGCCTGTCACATAGTAGGGGCTTAATAAATGCTTCCTTCCTCCCAACTCCCCCAAATCTTGTTCCTTTGCATTCTCTCTTCTCTTTCAAGTCCTACTAGATGAATAATGGTCCAACCTGTTCCTTGGTGATGATGTCACAGATGTGATGAGGGCAAGAGGAAGAGAGTAGAAAGAGAGGAAAGGGGTACCTTTGCCCCATTCTTCAGGACCGATTAAATCCAAAGGACGGAGCCCAGACCTGAAAGATATAGAGTCCAAGGTACGGTGTGTACCTGACCAGCAACGTGCTTAGCTATGTGCTCCAACACCATTACATTCTCTCAGTTTCACTTTTGCCGTCTTTCAAACAGTGGGCAAATGGGGGTTACCATCTTGGTACCAACATTAGGATCATATAAAGAACCAGACAAAAATTCTCCTTTCTACCACACTTAAAGCTGCCCAGTAGCCCTCGAGATCCAGAATGAGAGTGTCCTGGAGGTGGCACTATGAGCATTGAATTTAGTTGATGATATGGATGGCAAAAGTCATGGATTAAAATGGCTTTAAATCCTTAGCTTGCCCCAAGAAAAAAGATGGGGAAAACCTTTCATTCCCTTCATCTCTTTTCCCTCACCTTTCTCTGCTCCTTTTTTCTCTTAGTGAATTTATTTTTCAGGATGAACCTTGTTTTTTCCCTTTTGTTTCTTTCTGGTGTCTTTGAGGAAAGATGAGGGGCCACAAGAGAGATGTGAGAGGAAATAGAATTGAATCAAAATGGTGGGGGAAACCCTAGCACTCTTTTAGGATATGTATGGATAGTTTTCTCATCTCTACAATTAAAGAGTTGGACTAGAATGACCTCTGAGGTCTTTTCCGGTTCTAAGTTTCTGTCCCATGTAGAAGAGGCATCGTCCTACCGTTGGTAGTATGTATAGTTTAAGGATTTTTTTCATCAGTAGTAAGGATGGATTTGGGCTGATCCATCCCAGTCCACTTTGGAACCCATTGGGAATACTCATTTGAGAAATGGCTTGGCACCCAGGAAACAGAGGAAAGCTCACTGGCCCTCCATTTTTACAAAATAGACACATGGGCTGTGATGGTCCGCAATAATGGTAGCTCTGTAATTATTCTGAAAGACCAGTCAATCAATATTTATTGAGCACCTGCCATGCTCAGGACACATCCAGATGTATGAATCCCTGCTCTCTCCCCTGTCACTGCTTCCCAAGGATCTTTCTTAACCAAAAGGGGAGACACAGTTTCTGGCTGAGTGAGACTGAACTTTGGCGGTCCGTGTGTAGTCCCTTCGCACTATGCTGAAAACACCCCATTCACTGTCTAACATGAGAACGTTTTTCCCAATGCCACTGGATTTATTGGATTTCAGAATCTTGCCAAGAGAGGAAGAGCCACATTGAAGGGTAGTTATACTGTTTTTCCAGTCCCTTCTTAGTTGCATGTCTTAGTTCCCTCTTCTCTGGGCCCAGAAGGGTTGCTATTCTAAGGACAGTGGTATAGCCCCTTGTACATAGTAGGCACTTAATAAATGCTTCTTGAATTGATTTGATTCTCCTCCCATCAGGAAAGAGGCTGAGTACTTTGCTTTGCTCAGCCACAAAGATCAGAGGATTCAGGACTAGAGGGGACCTTCAAGTCCACACCCCTCATTTCACAGATGACGAATGAAGGAAAGTGACTTACACATTACACAGGTAAAAAGTAGCAGAACCAAGATGTAAACCTAGGTCCCTCCATCTTAAAATCCTGCTCTCTTTTCACTGTGTCGTATCTTCTAAGGAATTGACTGCCTGGGTTTGCCCTTGACCGGAATAAATGCCTTCTAGGCCAGGAAGAGAGGAGGCTGGAGGACCCGGTCTTTAACCTTGCTTCTGAAATAGCCAGCTGAGGCTTGGGGAGCGACCCCTATAGTGGGCATATCTGGGAAACTCAACTGCTCACAGCCCAACTGAGTCTTCGGGTACTGTGGTCCAAAGGCTTCAAGACAGCAGGCCATGATGGCTGCTGTCCAAGAGGTGTTAGGGACTTCCGCATCCAGTAGTATGGTTATGCTCAGGTGCGCTTGTGAATCTCCAGAGCATGACAAGCAACTTCATGTGGTTCGTTATGGACAAATAAATCAAGCTATCTCCTCCAAATGACACTTGGGATACAGGGAACAGAGAATTTTGGACACTGGCCCCATGACCCCTGATGATCCTAGTTGAATGTTTTTAGATTGATTTTTTTTTAATTAACAAAAAACTGTTTTCTACCTCTTCTCTCAAATGAAGAAGAAAGAAAAAAAACCACAACCGTTGTGACAAATATACATAGTCAAACAAAACAGATTCCCACATTGGCCATATCCAAAAAATATGTGTCTCAATGTACACCTTGAGTCTATCACCTCTTAGTCAAGAGGTAGGGAGTGTGTTTTATCATTGGTCCCCTGAAATCCTGGTTCATTGATCAGAATTATTAATCCTTTTGGAGTTATTTATTTTTATAATGTCGGCATCTTGTAAATAATTTTCCTGGTTCTTCTCACTTCCCTCTGCGTCATGACATACAAATCTTCCCCGCAGCAAATGTTTCCCTGCAACATCTTTTTCATCATTTTTAGGGTGCAATAGTATTCCATCCCATTCATATGCCATATTCTGTTCAATTATTCCCCAATTAATGGGCACCCCTTGGCTTCCAGTTATTTTACCACCACAAAAAGAGCCACTGAAAATATTTTTATATGTGTGGCCCTCATTAAAATTGGGAAATGAGTTGTTTATCATTAGTCTCTTCTACCTTCTGTTGTTATTCAGTCATATCTGACTCTTGGTGACCCCATTTGGGGTTTTCTTGGCAGAGATATTAGAGTCGTTTGTCATTTCCTTCTTCAGCTCATTTTACATATAAGGAAACTGAGGCAAACAGGGTTAAGTGACTGGCTCAGGGTCAGTAAGTGGTTGAGGCCAGATTTGAATTCAGAAAGATAAGTCTTCCTGACTCCAAGCCCAGGACTCTAAGCACTATGGCGCCACCTAGCTGCCCTCTTTTATCTTATTCTAGGTCTTGGTTTTACCAGTCTACAGACTGGCCTGATTATTGGTCTAATGCTTAGAAGGGAAGGGATAATTCAATAAGTGCTATCATTGCCCATGAGCACTTGATGCAATTCTAGAGATACTAGAGCAAGATTGATAGACCCAACTCCTGTGATGGACGTAGTCCCGGGATCTTTGGATGAAAGACCCTATGTAAGTGACATGGCATCACTCTCTAGTGCTGCAATACTGATAGGGCTTGCCAAAGTCTTTGAGCAGCCGGCTTTTAGGATCCTCTGGCAGCTATCATCCTGTTTGTGTTTCAGTTCAGACCCATGACAATATGATTTCTCACCTTCTTGGGAGACCCAAATAGTTCAGGAACCTCACCATTGATGGAGATCTTAACCATGGGGAGATTTGTCAGCTCTTGTTTTTGAGCAGAATCTCCATCCCCCATATTCCACTTCTTTGGATGCCACTCAAGAGCTTATTCCTCCTCAGAAGAAGTTTGAGGTCAACAAGAATCATTTCCTTGCAGTTTTTACCTCTGGGAGAATCCAGACAGGAAGACCATATGAACAGATGGAGAGGATTAAGCATTGGCCAAGGGATAAGTCCATTCCTCCCAGGGACTTAATTGAACCATCAATCCAAAATCAGGGCAGAGAGTACTACTGACTTCCTGAGCTCCAGATTTTACCCAAATAGTCATTTTAGAAAGTAGACATCAAAGTGTAGTGGATACATTGCTGTTCTCAGAACTGAGATGACCTGAGTTCAAGTCCTTTCTCTGACACATACTGACTATGTGACCCTATACAAGTCACTTACCCTCAGGCAACTTCTGAAACTATGAGTCAAAGAGACTTTAAGACTATTATTGTTCTTTAGTCACGTCCAACTCTCCATGACCCCACTTGGAGTTTTCTTGGCAAAGATATTAGAGTGGTTTGCCATTTCCTTCTCCAGCTCATTTTACAGATGAGGAAATTGAGGCAAATGGGGTTAAGGGACTTGGCTGGGATCCCACAGCTAGTAAATGTGTGAAGCCAGATTTGAACTTAGGAAGTTGAGTCTTCATGACTTCAGGCCCAGTGCTGTATGCACTATGGTGCCACCTATAAGGTATAACTGAAAGCTGCATCTACCAATGACAACCTGTATTGGTAGGTTGAGTTTCTTTATCTAGAGCAGGGGTACTTCACCTACTTTGTGGTATAAATCCCTATAAATCAGAGGCATGTTTTTAAACACATTAAATAAAACACACAGGATTACAAAGAAGCAAATATGTTGAAATACAGTTCTCAAATTTTTTTTTTTAAAAACCAAATTAATGGACCCCAAGTTAGGAACACCTGATCTAGGGAATTCCCTGTACTAATGAAATCATAAATCCAATCTCTATCTTTATTAATTTTGGAAAAATTAAAAATCAGAAGAACCATTTTATTTCTTTTTAAAAGAGTGAAGCATTTTGAACCAAGCTCAACCTATGTATTTTCTTAAATTGTTGAAATACCAGACAATAATATCAGAATATTCTCTGAATTAGATCATTTATTTCAGTGCCTGTATCTAAAGAAAGGCCATTTAGGATGATAACATCATAGAGAGAGAGCTGGAAGGTACGTCAGAGGCCCAATACTCCAACTCCTCACTTTATATATGGCCAAGGAGGCCACAGATGTTCAAGTGACTTGCCCAAGGTCACCCAGATAGTAATCCACGGTCAGAGTCAGGTCTTCTATTTCTAGAATCAATGTTCTTTCCAGTATACCCTGAAGTAGGAAGAGAGGTCCTGAGGCTTGAAAATGATTCTCTTGCCTTTCTGACATGCTATTGGCATCTAGGGTCTCTAAAATCCTGTTCTGTTGCACAACATATCTATAAATCAGGCGAAAACCTCCTCATTTTCTCTCTTTAAATTTGCCTTCCTAAACTTACCTTATTGCTTCCTTCTAGAAAGGCACAACAGGGGCCAGGAGTAGCTAAAGTGGACCCGGGCCACACAAGGGGTCTTTAGAACTTTGGGGGGAAAACCTTCTCCCCAGACTTTGGGTTTTCTTTATATATTCTTCCCTCTCTTCATAGGTACTTACATCCACTTTTGCATCCAGAAAGGAGGTACCAAAGAATAAGGATTGTGCACATGCTTACCCAGAGATGTCCTCATGACTTTGGATTCAGCCCTTTCTGCCATATGTGGGGTCATCTATTGAGAGTTAAAAGGGATTATAGATGTCATATATTCCAATCACTTTGTCTTATAGATGAGAGGCAGCATGACATAGTAAATAGGGCAGCGTGACATAGTAAATAGGGCACTGAACTTGGAGTCAGGAAATCTTGGGTTCAAATCCTGCCTCAGGTACTTACTCATTATGTGACCCTAGGCAAATTACTTAAACTTTCTGTGCTTTAGTCTCCTTATCTGTAAAATGAGGGCATCAAACATGACAACTCCTAAGGTTTCTTCCAGCCCTGAATTTATGATCCTATGAAAGTGAGTCCCAGAAAGTGATTGGCCAGTGTCATCCAGGTACACCAAGGTACACCTGGAATTCAAACTGAGTTCCTCTGATTTCAGATCCATCAGCCTTTCCACCACTACATCCTTTTGTTAAAGGTGATGACATCAACTTATTGACTGTTACACGATGAATAGAGCTTAGCCAAGTTAGTAGAAACGAGGGATGAAGGGGAAGTCACTGAGAAAGTCCATTCTCTCTCCTCACATCCAGGGATGAAAGGTAACTGTGAATGGATCTCACATGAAGAAGGTCCCCATAGTGCACCCTGTCCTCCCAGGGCACAGAGAAATCTGGCCTTGAGCTACAAACCCAAATTCCAGCCATCTAGCCCAGCTCTTTCATATGTATCAAAAGCTATTCTCCCAGTGGTATAAAAATTCATTGTGTGAGTGTGTGTGCCAGTCAGTTACCCTTTAGATGCCAACAGTGAGAGGTAGAAGGGGGCCTGCTCACTCCTTAATGCCTATTTTGTTTGCCTGAAAGACAGATTACTTTTCCCTAGTGGAGCTGTGATTAAAATGGACCCAAAAGAAACACCAGCTGTTCTGGATGCAGGGTAACTGGCTACTCTTTAACAAGGGAGCGGCGGGAGTCCCACTGCCCAAATTTGCGTGGCCTCTGAAAAAACACTCCCACCAAAAGTGCACTTCCTAGAGAAGCAAACACAGTCACACGGCAGAATGCCCTCTGCCAGCTATCAGAGATCTCCACACTGCAAGAAAAAGGTTGGGAGTCAAAAGACCTAGGGGTGAGTCTTGGCCATGCTACCTATTACTTAACTGTGTGACCTCTGGCTGTGTCGCTAAACCTCGCTGGACCTCAGTCTGCCCCTTTGTAAAATTAAGTGATTGGATGAGTTGCTCCTTAAACTCCCTGGCTTTAGAATTAGAAGAGATGTCAGAAGTCAGCTACTCTAACCCTCTTGTCTTTACAAATGAGAAAACTGAGGCAGACCTAAGGTCCCAGAGGTAGTGAGGACAAGAGTCTTTGAACCCTAGTCCTCTGGAGAAGGAAATGATCAACCACTCCAGCATCTTTGCCAAGAAAACCCCAAATGGGGTCACAAAGAGTCGGATGCGGCTCAACACCGCCAAGAACCACAACAAAAAGGCGGAGTACTTTGCTTCCTGCTGT